CCTCATGAGTGGACCTGGTCTTTTGCATCTGACATATGCCATTGGCATTTAGTTTCATAGAACCCGTGTTGCAATGAGTGGACACATGATAGTCAGCAAAGCATGAAAAAGGAATTTATACAAGCCATCACAGATCAATGTGCCTTTCAATGGGGCTTTGATGTGTCAGATTTCACTGAGGACTTTAGTCCCAAGTGAAGGCAGAAATAAATGCTTCAAGGTCAGGAGAATAGAATAGAATAGAATAGAATAGAATAGAATAGAATAGAATAGAATAGAATAGAATAGAATAGAATAGAATAGAGCTGGAAGGGACCTTGGAGGTCTTCGAGTCCAGCCCTCTACTCAATCAGAAGAACCTATACCATCTCAGACAGATGACTGTCTAGTTTCTTCTTGAAAATCTCCAGTGAAGGAGTGCCCACGATTTTTGGAGGCAAGCTGTTCCACTGGTTAATTGTCCTCACTGTCAGGAAGTTTCTCATTAATTCCAGGTTGCTTCTCTCTTTGGTCAGTTTATTTTTATTTTATTTTTAAAATTTATAAGCCGCCCCACTCCCGAAGGACTCTGGGCGGCTAACAATAAAAAACACATAAAACATAACAAAACAACAATACAAAAACAATCATCCAGGGGTAAGGTTTTATAAACCCCAGGCCTGCCGGAAAAGCCAGGTCTTAAGTAGCTTACAGAAGACCAACAGGGTGGGAGCAGTCCTAATCTCCGGGGGGAGCTGATTCCAAAGCGTGGGCGCCATCACAGAGAAGGCCCTCCTCCGCAGCCCCGCCAAATGGCACTGCTTGGCCGACGGGGCCTGAAGGAGGCCCAGCCTGTGGGATCTAACCGGACGTAGGGAACTATGAGGTAGTAGGTGGTCTCGCAAATAGCCTGGCCCTGAGCCATATAGGGCTTTAAAGGTAATGACCAACACCTTGATTGGACCCGGAGACCAATAGGCAACCAGTGCAGCTCACGGAGGATAGGTATAACGTGGGTGTATCGAGGAGCACCCACTATCACTCGCGCGGCTGCATTCTGGACCAACTGTAGTCTCCGAATACTTTTCAAGGGTAGCCCCATGTAGAGCGTGTTGCAGTAGTCCAAACGTGAGGTGACAAACCATTGTTTCTCATCCTTCCCTCTGGTGCTTTGGTGAGCAACCTGGCCCCCTCTACCTTGTGGCATCCCCTCAGATACTGGAACACTGCTATTATATAATATTATATAATGTTTATCATCAGCCGCAGCTTAATGGCAGAGGGCTTTGGATGCAGATGACTCTAACTCCAGCCTTCAGAGAGGCATTGACAGAAAAATCTTCCCCAGGTAAAGTTCTGAAGAACTTCTCAAACTGAGACACTGGAGAACTGCTGATGGAGTATAAAACAACAACAACAAGCTAAGAATAAAACCCAATTAAAATACCACACAAAACCAGGTCTTTCAACCAGCAACGTTAAAAAGAATTAAGGAGAACCAAACCAACTGTCATCATCAAACCAGGCATCATAGTGATAATTTTGGAGAAGACATTCCATAGCTGGGAGGCCTTAAGGCAGTGGTGGCGAACCTATGGCACATGTGCCAGAGGCGGCACTCAGAGCCCTCTCTGTGGGCATACGTGCCATGCCCCAAAGATGGCAACCTGTCAACGCTGCAAATATTGTATATTCTTGCTTTTGACAATATGTAGAATTGTTTGGTAATTATGGGGTTAATATAGAGCAGAAGGGGGGTTGGGGGTAAAGCCCGGGAAAGAAAGAGGAAGAAAACATTTGACCTTCATACTAATTGGATAATGTGAGATATGACGGCTAATTTAGGGAGGGAACATGCTGATAATTTAACTGCTCAAAGGAAGAGAACTTAGATCCTAGCATCCCTCTGTTGTGCCTGTGCCGACATTTTGTAACAATAAAAGACTTTTAGGAAAATAAATGCCTGGAAGTTCTTTGGAATGTTTCATTAGCTGGAACCACAACACAACCGTCCCTCTTCAACCAGCCAACGGGTAACTCACCGAGGTCCCATGTGGCTGGATGCATCCCAGCATGGCTGGTTTCCCTCCCCCCCACATCCCATCCCTCCTGGCCTCGCATGCTCTCCTTTTCCTTGGCACGACCCACTGCATCACCTCCTCAGCTGTCGGCTGGCATCCAGCTCATAGGCAGCTTCTCTGAACTGCTGGTGGCGCGCTGCGGAGCCCCAGAGTGCGCCAGTCAAGGGGCCAGCAGGCTGTGGCTGCTGACGGACACTGTCAGCCCCCATGCGCTCGCTGGCCTCTGTGTGCGGGGGCCAATAGTGTCAGGCAGCAGCCGTCCTGGCCCCTGCCTTGCCTTGCATCAATAGCACCCCCGCCCTGCCTTGCCTTGCCTCACCCCTCACCCCACCACCCATCTGCCAGAGACCCCCTGGATCTCCCACAACCCTGTCCAGCCCCACAGGCGTCCCTCCCCACGGGCAGCATCAAGGTGATCACGCCTACTTTGGCCACACCCACCCAGTCTGCCATGACCACCACAACCACGCCCACCCCATGGGCCACGCCCACCTGGCACCTGGCGATACATAAGTGGGTTTTGGGTTGCAGTTTGGGCACTCGGTCTCTAAAAGGTTCGCCATCACTGCCTTAAGGGCTTCCCACGTAGGAGCTACAGAATACTCTCCCCGGAGGTTACATCTCTACTTACGATCAAGAATGATGCTGAGAAGTGGCTGGAAGTCCTCATCTGTGATCTGCCAGATAGAAAAGGCCTCCCGGGGACTTTCTGGCAGGAGGCGGAGTAGGAAAGCAATGGTATATTCAGTTGGAAGTCCAAACGGTAACACCTCACTGTGGAAGCAACATAGAGATCCTTCTGTGAAATATCTCATGGTGAAGATCATAAGGTCATCACGGGATTATATAAAGCCAGGGCTTTTCAACCCGTGGTACGGGTACCACCTGTGGTACATTGGCACCTGGCAGGTGGTAGGCGACTATCCTAGAAAAGGGGTAGTGCGGGAGGGGAATGAGCTGAACCGGTGGCAGCACCACACAAGCCTGAGCGAGAGATGGCTGGAGCTGCAGGGCTGTCAGGGCTCAGCGGAAGCGACAGGATCAGCGACAGGCTCCAGCTGGAAAGCAGCACTGATCCTGGCGCTTCTGTGAGCCCAGAAGAAGCACCAATTAGCTGGAAAGCAGCACTGATCCTGGTGCTTCCGCTGAGCCCAGAAGAAGCGCCGATCAGCTGGAAAGCAGCACTGATCCTGGCGCTTCCGCTGAGCCCAGAAGAAGTGCCGATCAGCTGGAATGTTGCAGCATCTCCAGGGTCTTGTGATTTACATTCAGATGCTTGGCCACTGATTCATATTTATGACGGTCACAGTGTCCCAGGGTCATGTGAAGTGACCAAAACCTGCTGCAACCACCCAGAAGACAGGGGGAACACCCCCCACCCCACCCCCACTGCCAATCCTCAACAGAAATGCTCACAACAATGAAAACCTTGGACAGGAGGAAGAGCGCCACTGGGTGAGCAGGCAGGTGTCTTGCTCGGTGGTGGCTTGGGGGGCACTTTTTTCAGTGCCATTGTAACTTTGAACAGTCACTAAGCGAACTGTTGTAAGTCGAGGACTACCTGTACTTTATCACTTTTTTCCTTTTTTGTTTTGGTCATCAAGTTTTTGACACCTTGCTAGGCGACTGGTGGTACTCGGATATTGCCATATGCTAAAAGTGGCATAATGGGTGAAAAGGTTGAAAAGCCTTGATATAAAGTATAGCACCCTGCTTTATTTCAATGTTATGTATGGAACCATGGAGGTGGAAATGATGGCAGGTGTTACTTAGTCCAACCCCTTGCTCGGTGCAGGAGAACATCTCTGACAGAGGATCATCCAGCTTCACCTGAAGTCCTCCAAGGAAGAACTGACCACTGTCTCCTACTGTATGGCTTCTATAGGCTATTGTTAGCACTGTGACAGAAGATTGTAAGTTGCTTGTCCCAAAGGTGCTTTTTGAAAAGGCAAATGCACTGTCTTTGTTTTTTAACTTGAAGACAAAAAACTGACAGTCAGAGCTGAAGAAGCTTCTTGGATGAGAAGTGAAATGCCTTCAAGGAAAAAAAAATAAAGAAAGCTCTTTGCATAAGCTCTCATTGCACATATAAGGCAGTGATGGTGAACCTTTTAGAGACCGAGTGCCCAAACTGCAACACAAAACCCACTTATGCATCGTTGGGTGCCGGGTGGGTGTGGCCCATTGGGTGGGTGTGGCCCATTGGGTGGGCGTGGCTGCAGTGGTAACAGCAGACTGGATGGGACTAAAAAGTTCTATCAATCAATTCCAACTTTGCAAGATTTTTTTTTTCCCATGAGAAGTTGAAATTGACTGATTGATGGAAACTTTTTTTTTTTTTGGTACACGGCGCCGGAGGCCTAAAGAGAAAAGGTTTTATAAAACCCAGCTGAAGGCCTAGGACTGGGGCGACGGCACGCGTGCCCACAGAGAGGGGTCTGAGTGCCGCCTCGGGCACCCGTGCCATAGGTTCGCCACCACCGATATAAGATATGTACACACAGTATATGTACACATCTTGTATATACATACAAGAAATGTACCTTCATACACACATCTATACATACATATAAGATACGTACATACAGTGTACATACCAAAACATTTGAGGCAAGTTGTGCTTCTCAGGGGCTGCCCCGAAGAAGAGGGAGTCAAGCTATTCCCCAAAGCCCCTGAAGGCAGGACAAGAAGCAACAGATGGAAACTAATAAAGGAGAAAAGCAACCTAGAACTAAGGAGAAACTTCCTGATAGTTAGAACAATTAACCGGTGGAACGACCTGCCTCCAGAAGCAGTGAATGCTCCAACACTGGAAGTTTTTAAGAAGAGACTGGACAGCCATTTGTCTGAAATGGTATTGGGTTTCCTGCCTGAGCAGGGGGTTGGACTAGATGACCTCCAAGGCCCCTTCCAACTTTATTATTATTATTATTAAGATGTGTTCCCATCACCTCTTGGGACATCGGTTCCATTGTCAAACTGAGTTTATGGTTAGGATCTTCCGTTTTTAGCACAGTGACAACAGATAGCTTCTTTCTGATATCTCACTTCTACACATAAACTTTGGGGCCTGAACACTTTAGTTTTCTTGCTGACAAAACTGAGCTAGATATCCAAATACAAGTAGTTCAACTTACAACAGTTCATTTAGTGACCTTTCAAAGTTACAATGACACTGAAAAAAAAGTGGCGGATGATTGTTTTTCACATTTACGACCGTTGCAGCCTCCCCACGGTCCTGTGATCAAAATTCAGACTGACTCCTATTTATGATTGGTTACCGTGTCTTGGTGTCACGTGATCCCCTTTTACAAAGTCAATGGGATTCATTTAACAACCATGTTACTAACTGAACAACTGCAGTGAGTCGCTTAAGAGCTGTGGCAAGCAAGGTCATAAATGGGGCAAATCTCACTTCACAATTCTCTGACTTAGCAAAGCAAAATTTGGGCTCAGTGGTGACCATAAACCAACCTGCAACGTGGCTAAGGACAAGGGAGCTATCTAGAACTTTCTTAATGTAGTTCTTGCTAGTTTTTTACTTAATATAAATGTATTGGTGTCAATAAACTGAAAAGTAGGATATAATCCAAAGTTCACCTCAAATGCTGCTCGACTAAGGAAGAAATGCAATAAATATCTTCTTTGATGTCTTATTTTAATAATTGATCGGAAAGTTGGTTTGCCACAGCAATTTAAATTTTGCTCCTCTACGCTGGCTGGCATGAAAAATAATGCTATTTGAAAGTAGATGACAGCTGGTGCATTTGATAGCTGGTGCAGTCTTGTGGTTAAGAAATAGAGCTACGGAACAGTCCTTTGATTGAATTTCACCCCTTCCGTCCTCATACCAATTTTAATCAAGTCATTCTGATGGATGCAGGTAATGTAAGATTAATCATAATGTTCTATATTACAGAATTATTGTGAGGATCTTCATAGAGAACATGTGAAGGGAGCTGAGGCAAAGGGTTAAAAAAAAATAAGCTCCAAATAGGCTGAGTAAAAAAAAAAAAATCATGAAATGCCAAAACAGCACTTGGATGAAAATGCCAGAGGCAAATTCCAGTCAATTTAGACTTACAGCCATTTGTTTACTGATGGTTCAAAGTTACAGCAGCCCTGAAAAAAGTGACTTATGACCAGTTTTTCACACTTACGACCAGTGCAGCATATCCATGGTCACATCAACAAAATTTCGATGCGTGGCAACTGGTATTTATGCATTTATGACAGCTGCACTCTTGTGATCACTGTTTGTAACCTTCCCAGTTGGCTTCCAACAAGAAAACTCCATGAAGCCAGTGATTCACTTAACAAATGTGGCAACAAATTGTCATAAAATTGGACAAAATTCACTTTGGGCTAAATTGTGATTGTAAGTTGAGGGCTACCTGTACAGATTCAAAATTGGTACCGTAATATAAAATTTTGGCTTATCTTAATAGAAGCAACCTTTCTGTTTGGATATGGCTCACAGCGCACCACCATTAAATGGCTTATGTGGTTTTTAAATGTATTCATCGAGGTGACATCATGAACCTTTATAAATCCTTAGTAAGACCACAACTAGAATTATGCATCCAGTTTTGGTCACCACATTACAAAAAAGATGTTGAGACTTTGGGGGGAAAAGTACAAAGAAGAGCAACTAAGATAATTAAAGGCCTGGAGGCAAAAACATATGAAGAACGGTTGCAGGAATTGGGTATGGCCAGTCTAGAGAAAAAAAAGACTAGGGGTGACATGATAGCAGTATTCCAGTATTTGAGGGGCTGCCACAAAGAAGAGGGGGTCAACTTATTCTCCAAAGCAACAGAAAGCAAGACAAGAAACGATGGGAATTAATCAAGGAGAGAAGCAACCTGGAATTAAGGAGAAACTTCCAAAAGTGAGGACAATTAACCAGTGGAACAGTCTGCCTTCAGATGTTGTGGGTGCTTTATCACTTGAGGTTTTTAAGAAGAGATTGAACAGCCACTTGTCCAAGATGGTACAGGGTCTCCTGCTTGAGCAGGGGGCTGGACTACAAGACCTCCAGGGTCCCTTCCAGCTCTATTCTGATTGATTGACCTCCAAGAATTCCAAACCATTTTGACCTTTGGACTTTAGGAACAGTAAACCCAATGCCATTGAATTGGATTGCACCATAGTCCATTCATAGTGACCAGGCAGTTGCATTGTTGGATTCCAAGATCTAAAGCAGTGGTTCTCAACCTGTGGGTCGGGACCCCATTTGGGGTCGAACGACCATTTCACGGGGGTCGCCAAACAATGCAGTCCGCCATTTTTTCCCCCTTTTCCTTAGCTGTGCTACTCCCTTTTATTCTATTGGCTTTTGAAAGCCAATAGAATAGACTCTCTTGAATAGAGTCTAATTTTATTGGCTTTCAAAAGCCAATAGGAATTGTCCAGGCTGTCTCTGCCCTGCTGAGCCCGCCAAAAGTCCCATTCTGCAAACGGTGCTGCACCAGTTGAGTAGTCCTTGACTTACGACCGGTTGAGTAGTCCTCAACTTACGACCAGTTGGGGGTCACGGCATTAAAAAGGTTGAGAACCACTGATCTAAAGGCTATCTAGGCTAGGCTACTACATCCTTAGTAAATGTGAAGGTAAAGGTTTCCCCTGTCCAGTAGTGTCCAACTCTAGGGGGCAATGCTTATCTCCATTTCTTAGCCAGAAACCTCCAAGGTCCTGTTCAACTCTGTTATTCTGTTATTCCGCTAAAACCTGTATAAATGCTTTGATTGCCTTGTCCTGAAGGAGACCACTCT